ACACTGGAAGGAGAGTGACAGGCCGGTAGTTGGCTGGGTCACTGCGGCATCCACCTTTGTAAATTGGTGAAATGTCACCGTTTTCCCACACCTGGGGAAGCACGGTATCTTCGAACAGTTTTTGGTATAGCTCACTTACGGGATCCACTATGTGAATTGCCAGGGTGATAAGGGCTTGTGGATGAATGTTATCTAAACCCGTGATGAGTTCTTCTTCAAAGCTAGGAGCTTTACCTTTATCCTTTCGGGAGAAAAGATAATGTTTGTCAGTAATGGGTAAGGAATATGTTCCAGCAAACNGCAAACGGGGAAGTACGAACCCAGTGTTACTAGGGGCACTGAACACTTGAGAGTACTGTAGTCTAAGCATTTCTACAGCCTCCGTGGTTGTCGCTGAAACATGTCCTGCTGAGTTTAGTATCGGAACGCCGTGTTTGACTTTCCGGGAAGCGTTTACATGCTTAAATAGTAGCTTATGGTTTGTGATAAACTTCCTCGCCAGCATATCATGATGATTGTGCTTGTCTTCCCACACCAAATTTGTACAGTGATTTCGAAGGAACCTGTAAGCTTCCCAAGTGCTGGGGCATGGACAGCTTTTGAACTCCCTCCAGTGAAAATCCCTTTGCATTATACATTTCCTAGTTCGACTGCGAATTGCTGATTTTCGAACAGTCGGTTGGCACGGACGCTTGACGGTTGTAACAGCAACCACCAATGTTGTGATGCAGTTAGTAAATTTTCTCCAGGATTCCAGGGGATGGCAGCCTATATCAGGGGAGATCTACTGGATTCCACGAGCCAGGTTGTTTAGTCCTGCATAATCAGTTGTGCTGCGAAGGCGATCCGAAGAAGCTGATATCACTGATACATAGCAAACGTATTTGAACAATAATACAGTGTGATCAGTGCACCCCAACGGAGTTGCGATTGCAATTGATTCGACCATCAATCCTTCATTTGTCAGTACTAGATCCAAAGTTGACGAAATTTGGTTGGTTCCAAACCTGGGGAGTTCCTTCACATGATTGTACAAAGGGATTTGACTGGATGAACTGCTTCAAATGGCATACACAATGTAGTCACGTTGCTCAGCTTTGGACAGTTGAATTCACTCATAACAAAAACGTGGGTGAAATTCAATGACAGGAAGTAAGACATTGCAACAAAGTCTCATTTGATGAATCTGCTGACGAAGGAGGGTGATAAACTACACCGATCAGCCCGATATCGTGTTGTGTTAGTTTCAATTTACACCATAACGTATCGGAAGCAGCGAACGGCCACTCAATTTTCTCGCATTGCAAGCTGTTATGATAGTAGATCAACACGCCCCCACCTCGCGTTGGACGATCACGCCTGGTAATCGCAGCTCGGATTCCAAAATATCAGTCATCAACCAGGTTTCGGGTACGGCAATGAGATCCCATCGACCGGTCCGACAATGTAGTTCCACTTCTAGAAACTTACTGAAAAACCCTGAGCGTTGGTAAAGAAACAATTCAGTCGTTGTCGGTGCAGAAATCCCTTGGAGGTTAGGGACGTAATGGGGCCGACCTCGTCGTCGGCCGGCAGACGTTTTTGCCGTAGGTGTTTGTTGAGTTTGGTCTGATGGGGACGAAGTGAAGCATGAAGGTTTCAGTGCTTCACGCACAATGTGATTAACATTTTCGACTGGTGGACAATTTTTCGGTCCTGAATTCAGCATCGGTCTTACGCGTAGTTCTTTGGACTCTCTGTGGTTCTGTGTTTCTGTGTTCATACCATGACTGGAGAACAGTGTTTGCCATTTCTGGTGTCCCAAGGGTTACCTTCAGTATTTGCGGGCCATCTCCACCATAGTTGGGAGAACGCAGAAGGCGTTTAATGGTCGTGGTGGAGATATTGCGGCAGTCTAACAACTCTTGAATGAAGTGCCATTCGTAAAAATCATTTTTTCGACAGTCAGATTCGTCGGCTTCGGGGAGCTGTGGCATTCCGTTGGTTCAAAATGACCACGACGCCAGTTGTTGTGGTTCGTACTCGGACTAGTAATTCGTATACGTATCGGATTCCGCGCAGTAATAGTCCAACCCAGAACTAGGACTCGAAATGAAATCAGAAGACAGAACTCAGCGACGGAATGGAACTGTAATGAGCGGAACTTCGGAATATACAAGGATATCGTGTTCAATAAAACAAAACATTTCACAGCTCATGAGCAATCACCACAAATGGGTTGAAAAATCCTAGTGAATGGATGTTCTATTTACCGAAAACTACCATGAAGTGGTCAGTATCTATACTTCTCCAGCTTCTCTCCGGTGGGTTATAAACCCGAACTTGTAAAAGCTCTGATCTATCGAGCCAGAAAAACTTGTTCTCCACAATCATTACGAGGAGAAGGAGAATTTTCAAAAAAAGTAGCTACGGAAAAGTTACTTAGAATGATTATTGAATATCCATAGTAAATAGTGCAAAACAGATAACCCACTGTTCCCCCAAAAGTGTATGTCAACCTTTTTTTCAAGGACGATCGCGTTCTAAACGATGTGCACAAAACGTAAGAGCCAGCTCTGAACCGCACACTCCCAGTTGCTCAAATTCGATCTTTTGCCTCTACCGGTGAAATGGATTTGGACGAATGTATACATGGTTAGCAATCTAGTTCTGTCTAACACAATGTATACCACTTCAATCACAGTTGCGGTGACGCATACATAGGCAGAACCAACCGTCAATTATCACAACGAATTGTCGAACACATTTTGAAATGGTCGGTGAAGCCTATGACTCAACCCAAGCTTGATATCCAGGTGGCCACAAGGAACCGAGGATCATCTATTACAAAACCCATCATGAAAACCCAACGGATTATTGATCCCGCTTTCTCATACAAACCCTTAGTATGCAACCACAATGCGGAAATCTTGGCGGATAGTCAGACGTTGTCATTCAGATTACATTATCACATTTGTGTACGAAAAAGCTATTGACACAATCAGTGCACTTGCTTTGGATTTAAAATTTTGTTTTTAAACTGTACACCGTTGTCCATTAGGATTTATCAACCCAATGTGCTTCACATACGTCTGCCTGTTTTACATCAACCAGTGAGGAGATTAAAATAAATGTTTACGTCGTGCAATATGCGTCTCCCTTCGGCCTCGGTATGAATTGCAATTGTATTTTTTGGCTGAGACTCTAATTGAAGTATGGATTCAAACTCTGGTTTTGAAAGAGGAAAATAAATTGAACTTGGTTCGTTCCAGAGAGATAAAATTAATAATTTCGTATCTCTAAAGTGAAAACTTCAACCCACCAAAAAGTAAATCCATAGTTCGATTGAAATTTGTAAATTTTCCACAAATGCTTAGTAATACCAGCATTGTAATTTAAGAGATATCTAATATTTTCTTTCAAGTTGAACGAGTTCTAGTTAAAAGCCGTATTTCAAAACAGTTCATATCGTTCCATTTCACCTGTTCACCGAGCTTGGCAATTTGCTTGCAAACATTTCATCACTAGCCGAAGTGACATCATCAGTGCTTGCACTGAGCTACGAGAACCGATTTTCAAAAACTTGTCAACGGTTCATATCGTATTCCGTTTCCCTGAAAGAAGCATTCGCGTTGGGCTGTTACTTCTTGCACGAAATTATTTGATCACATCTATTCTTATGACCTCAGACAATATATTTATAATTACTGAATTAACTCAAAGTACACCCACGAAATGAAAACTGTAGAAGAAACAGACAAACGAGTTTTTCCATTATTAACCCCCGTACATGTCATTAAATGCACACAG